TAAAAATTAGGTTTTGTTATAGTGCATTGCAATATTGTTCATAGTTTTGTGCTCTGTTTTTTTTTCCCCCATGGGTGTAGTGTTATGTATATGCTTTCCTTTTTCTGTGATAGTAGTTGAGCAACCACTCCCACATATTTTTTCTCTGCTCCAGGAAATATGGCCTTTTCAGTTTGTGAAGTCTTTTCTGCAGCATCATTTGAAAAATCTTAGGAAGTCCATTTTGTAAACCATCCTCATTTATAGCTTTTCTATCTTCACAATCACTTGAAGAAAAAAAAAAAAAACAACACACGACTCCGATAAATGTCAGTACCTTATCCTTCTATTTTTCCCAGTTTTTATGCCGGACATACTCTCTTGAACCTAGCAACAATGTAACCAATGAGAGGGAATAAGAGAAAGTAGAAAGGTGTCCTGCTCAAGAGAAATTGCTAGAACAAAACAAAACAAAACTAACAAAGAAAAAACAGACAAAGAAAAGAAACACAGAAAGGTATCATAATTAGAAGAAGAGTATGAAGGATTGTTGCTCATACCCATTTCCAAATTTGCAGACACATATAGGACAATTAATTCTTCACCCACCAAATAAAAACATACTGTCCATGTCAAGCTCCAAGAGACAGAATACCTGTGCTTTATAGAACACTGTCCTACAAACAAGAAGTTGGCCTTTTGTGCTTTTGTGTACTTTATGTTTGTCTTCTGCCACAAAGATATTTCAGCTGAGGGAGCACAGCTGAAGTCCTAAGGGATACTACTGCACAAAAACTGCAAAGCTGCTTTGAACACAGAAGTCTGTATCTGATCTGAAAGTATTTTATCTCCTCACTCCTGACTCAGCATTTGATGTGTAGTCTTGGACTCATGACTCCACTGCTCTTCTTCATCGTTACCTTAGGATCATCTCTCTTTGCTCTTTGATGATCACTTTACATCTCTATCACTGCTGCCTTTCATTTCTGTCCACAATGAGTTTAGTTCTGTTTCCATGTCTCCTCAAAATTCACTGAAAATGCTGAAATCCTACCAGCTCACTTACCTTGTTCTTCTGTTGCATTCACCTAGCTCTTTGCCATCTATCACTTCAGAGCCATCTTAATTGTCGTCGTCATCATCATCATCATCATCATCATGACAATTAAGATGGCTCTGAAGTGATAGATAGCATCTTAAGTACCTTGCCTATAAACAGCAAAATGAAAACATGAGATCTCAGCATATCCTAATCACCCTTAATTCATGTAGCACAACAAAAGCTGTGAAGGTACATTGGAATGGACTGGTGGGTGGGTTCATTAGGGATACTGGATTTGTATTTTAACGACTGTGCATCAGTGTTGTCTAGGCTGTCTACCTCTGATTTGGCATATATGCTCCTGTGCTAACCATACCTCAGTGTGCATCCACCCTTTTTCTTCTCCCAGTTTACACCATCGTTGAATAATTTCCAGCCCTTCTATGTTTCCTTGTCTGCTGTATTTAGATTAGTATGTATCACCACACAACATAAATCCTTGTCTTAGTCTCCTTCCCATACCTCTTGAAACACCGCATGCCCTGGCAAACACCTGCTAGTGGTGTGGCAGAGCTATAATCAGCAAGGTAAGAACATCAGCTACCAGGAGAAGCAGGAGTTGCTGCTTCCATGCATTTTCTTTCCCAGGAAAAGGAGCTGAGCTGATCCACAATCTCCCGGCAAGGTCACTATGGGAACAAAGGGAAGCTGCTCTCCAAGCAATAAATCGTAACTAAGAGTAGAGAGACAATTTAAGAAGCCAATGATGAAAAATGGAAAGAATGAGACTGCTCAGATTTCTTTACCAAAGTAACAGCCCTGACCAACACTGTGCAGCAGCATTTCATCTCTTCATTCTCAGATAAAGGAAGACTGCAATTCGAGTCTTCTTTTTCCCAGGGAGAAGGATACCACAACTGTGAGTACTGACTCTATTCAGAACTCTGGAAACTTAACAGCTTCTTGTGTAAATGTAGGCAGACAGGGACTTATTGGGCCTATGAGGGTAGTCTTGAGCTGCCATATACAGCATCTGCAACACCTAGTTATTTAGATCTTTTAAGTTTTCCATTCTTCAGTTGATCCTCCTCAGCTCTAGTGAGATACATAAAAAGCACACTCAACTATTTAAAAAACGGTAGCTTTACTGGAAAGCAATTACTTGGTATTTAATTTAGTTGGATGTGAAAGGTAACCATGGTGCTTGCTGCTGCTATTGTGGGTAAAAAAAAAAAAAAAAAAAAAAAAGAGGTACTTTTTTTGCACAGATCCTGGATAAATATATCTGGTTAAATGAACCATTCAGTTGTATCAACTGCATCAGTAAATGAAAAAAACAAGGTTTTGCTTATAAAACTGATTATAAAACTGTTTCATGGTCTAGTCACATTCTCCCTCCAGATCCTGCTTTTTTTTCTGAGTTCAGTGAAAATTTTGGTTTGGAAAAATGGTTTCATTGAAAGTGAATGACTTTCCCCATTTTTAATGAATCAAGGAATATGATTTATATTGGGAAAGGAGAGCTTCATTCTCATTTCTTAGTGCTAGAGGGGGTTTCAGCATAGAGCAACATAAGCTGCTTTCTCCCTTTGTTTGAAAAATCATTGATTTAAAGTAATATTAATGCTCTATACTTAGGTGATTCATACAAGTTTGAAAATACAGTGAAACAATTAAAAAAACCACCAGAAATCTAAAGTAAGTGTATTTTCCTGATGATCAATGCAGCAATAATATTTTAGGCTAACAGTTGAACCTTTGGTTACCCTACAAGCTCAATCCTAACCCAAATTTTTGCAATAAAATTCATATTGTTACAAGATGAAACTCAGCTGTAATATGAATGATTTATATTTGTATACCAATTTCAAATTACACATTTAACATTTAAAAATCTTTATCAAGGAGCTGGCATCATTCATTTTAAATACAACTGATTTTCCTGGTCAGAAAGAATTACTGTCTTTTTTTTTTTTTTCCCCCAGAGTCAAATCTCTGCATTTTGAGTTTTCCTTGCCAAATGGAAGAAATTTTTAATTCCTTTCTAACTTTTTCACTCCCACGTTATACTGACTGTTTTGGTGTAGAAAACACCCATGGGTGATTTTTTTGATATTCTAAGCATATCTGGCACCTGTTTAGTAATGAAACAGTACATTACAGCTTTGCCTGCAGGAGGAATTTCTTCAACTGTTATCTAAGTAGCATGGCAAAGATCCAGGCCCAGAGAATTGTGCTGTCATATGAGAGTAACTTTAGTGACATAAAGTATCTTGTTAACTTTCAGTGTCTTGGTAGAAAGTCTACACCAATCTAGGGAAATATTATTTATTAGTAATAATTTAAACTTTAATTTTTTAGAATATTATTATGACATCTCCATTGGTTAATATTGCCATTTCTTTGGTGATTGGAGGATGAAGTTACCATGGAAAATATACGGTTCATAACAGAATCGGCCAAAGATAATGTGACATTACTATTATGTATGCTAGGGTTTTCAGATCTGTGATTTCATTTCCTTAAATTCAGCCAGAATTCTTAGTTTTACTCCTCCCTTTTGTAATGGAAACTTTGTACTCTGTGTATGTCTATTAGATTAACATCACTTTTGCAATTCACTAGCTTACAGGGACTCAAAAAGAAAAAATATTTTCTGTGATAACATATACAGCTTTTTAAAAAAGGCTATCAAATGTCATTAGAGATTAGATGGATCACAATGTGCTGCTGCAAAATTATTAGATTCAAGATGTGAACAAATATAAGAAAGTACTCTAGAAGCTCTGCAGGGTTTTAGTTCTCTAATTTTTATTATTCAACTGGCTTTGATCAAAGACAGAAATCTCAACAGACATAAACTTTTATGGAAATCTCTACAGGGACATAAACTTTATATAGCATAAAGTTTTAAACACACATTGGTTTGGAATATACGGAGAAAAGAAAGGGAACATTTAGAAACTGTTTTAATGCTTTGAGCTTCTATCTAAGAATTAATCAAACAGATTTTGCACAGGTTCCTTTCTGTAGAATCTGTGCATAATGATGAACAAACCATT